TGCAATATAACAAAGAGTGAAAAATTGAAGGGGGTCTGAATACTTTCCGTACCCACTGTATATAGCCTAGCTTTATTATGTTTTTCTCCGCTCGCAGAAGCACTGCAGGTGCACGATGTGATATGACCATGTGAATCCTCATGTTCTGTTGTTTGCTGCTTTTTGCGCATGTAAAATTAATCCCCGGGAAACAAATGTTAGTATTTTTTTAACGGGTCACAGACACTTATCCTTTCTAATTTAATTCAATTCTAATTTTAAATAATCTTGTCTGTTAACAATCGGTTAACGAGCGTCGGTTGTTGGTTAGGAAAAATAACTGAAATGAACATCCCTAATATCATGGTGGTCTTTCATTTAAGATAAACCTGTCCCTCAAGGTTATGTAATGCACCCATTCTCAGTTTTTGTTTTTACGTGCTGTCTAATAAACTCTTCCTGTCTAATTAGGGGATTCATGGCCAGAATAAGCTGTGAAGTAGACCAGATTTTAGCCAGATACTATGGATCTGTGAGAATTTAGCCGCATTCCTACTGCAGGAAGTAATGCACATTTCAGGAACTTCAGAAGTAGTCCAACTTGTCAGACGTTCCTGAAACTCGCATTGACGACATCCAGAGAGATTTGGAGTTGTCAGTATTCTTTTGTTCTTTCTATTGTCTCAGATTCGCATTTCCATCCCTCATGTTAACATAAAACCAACAAAGTATCCAAAGAGTAACAAAAGCACAGCTCTAATCCTGGTGTCTTCCCTTTGTTGTCCTTTGTTGTTGCTGCTATTGTGTGGTGCACTGAAATGACACAATTAGATTGCGTCACCACAGGTTTCCACTGTAGGTGCCAATGCAAAAGTAAAAGTTATCTTTAAGTGTGTAGTTCCTCTTCCAGGTAGTCACTCTTGGGAAGTACCAGAACTAGATGTTCAGAAAGCCACTTTTGTGACTCCAGACCTTGGACATTTCGTCACCGGTTAAATCAACCCTTTTTTACTCTTTTTAATCGCTGCTCTTTTCCAACTCCTTTTAAGAGCTCCTTTCACAAAACGGTCCGTCAGCTGTCCACGGATGAGGAAATGTTATGCGTGTTGTGTCTGGAGGGCTAGGTGTGTATTGTCCCATTTTAGTGTGAAGATGGTCCGGCTTGGCCCTTAATTAATGCTTCTCAAAGGCTGACAGCTCATACAGTTCTGTCACAAGCGGCTTCGGTTTCCTCTACTGCGCAGCTGTATCGCCGTCTCTCATGTACACACACGCACCAGTGTGTTTTAGACCTCTCTTCTGATAGGCTGTCAACGCCTGTCTCTCAGGTAGGGGTCCACTTTACGGATCTGTCAGTCAAGTATCGCACAGGTGACAGACTGTTATGGTTGTCTTATCTTCTAGCGATGACTGCTCTCTGTCACTGGCGTGTCAGTGTTTTCTCTCCATTTTGCTATATTGTGCAGTTTCTGTCATTTTTGGCTAGTAAGAAAAGACAGGTAGGAAACTAGGTGATATCTGGTTTAGAAAAAGAGGAAAATGTGTATATTGTGCACTATACAAATACAAATATACAAATAGCTTATTTGTTGTGTTATACAACCTCTTTCTTTCTAAGTGGGTGTTTCTTGATCCAAAATAAGATACTGTACATATTCGAGTACATTTTTTGTCATGTGTTGTTCGACTCTTTTACTCAACTGCTCTTGTATTGCTGGGACTGGAGCCCAGACTGCATTCAGGGACATTCTAGGCCCCTTGTCTCCCTTCACAACCCCATTCTGCTTGAGGCAGACCCACATACCACTGCTGCCATTGGACAAACGTAAATCCAGAACGAAACAGGAGTAAACTCAATAGCTTCATGTCAGATAACAAGTCATACTTTGCAAATTGCGGTGGTGCTTTAAAGAGACCTTTTTCATTCATTTACTTAGCAGACTCTTTTATCCACAGCAAATTGCAAATGGGGAGAAATGCACAGGCAATTAATCATAGGGAACTTACAATATTAAGAGTGCCTCAATACAGATTTTGAAGCATTTGCAGCAGGAGAGCAAAGTGGTACAGAACAGTGGAAATATTAATGTGGAAACCATGGTAACTTTTTTTTCATGATTCTTTTATGAATAGTAAGTTTAAAACAGCATTTATTTAAATGGAAATCTTTTGTAACACTATAAATATATTTTACTGTCTCCTTGGACCAATTTAATGCACCCTTGCTGAATAAAAAATACGAATTTCTTTTCAAAAGAAAGGGAAAAAAAAAAATTTCTTACTCTTTTGAATGATACATTTACATTTGTCCATTAACAGATGATTTTTTTTTAATTGTAAGTGACTTACAATAGAGGTTCATAAGCAGTTCATCACAGGGATAAGGGATAGTTTTCTCAAAAATGAAAATACATTTATTGATTTACTCAACATTATGTTGTTCCAGACCTGCACGACTTGTTTCTGTGGAACACGCAAAAAAATATATTTTGAAGAATTGTGCTGGTCGCTCTTTTCCATGCAGTTACAGTGAATGAGGACTAAAGCATTCAAACAAATAATAAAAGCACAATAAGCTGAATAATGCTCTATATTAGTCTGCTGAAGCCATAGGATAGCTTTATGTGCAGAACAGGCCAAGATTTAAGTCACTACGTTTCAAGTCTTTAGAAAATGTGGAAATAAAGTGCACAAGTCAGAGACCACTTTCAGGATGCTTTTATGGTGTTTTTGTGTACTTTTTTGTGTGACCATCTGTAACCATTAATTGTGGTTCCATGGAAACATTTTCTTCAGAATTACTCCTTTTATGTTCCACTGAAGTCATACGGGGTTGAACGTAATTGCCGTGAGACAATATTGACATCATTTTGGGTAAACCATCCCTTTAAGTGCTCACATAAGAGCTTTTTTTTTTTTTTTTTTTTTTAGAGACGCTATCACAGTGACTATCTAGGGACACTAAGTTTGATAGTTCTGGTAAGCATCTTTGCGTCAGATAAATCTCAGTTTCTTTTTCTGTTTCTCTTTATCTCAGCCTACAGCACATTTTATATAGTGGGCTTGGTGCTGTCCATGCAGATCCCTTTTGTTGGCTTCCAGCCCATCAGGACGAGTGAGCACATGGCTGCTGCAGGTAAGACTGGTTTGCCTCTATTCTTCAACTGTTGCTCTTTTACACTGATCTCAGATAATCTCACTCAACTCCAATCCATAAACTCGGGCCATGAGAGCGGTGATTTACATGACTTTAGATTAGCACCAGGAATTCATGACCGTTGGGAAAGTATCTGAAACGGCTGAGTATGTGGGTTAATGGTACATTTGTGTGTTTGCAGGTGTATTTGCACTGCTTCAGGCTTACGCCTTTCTGCAGTATCTGAAGGACAGACTGACCAGGCAGGAGTTCCAGACATTGTTCTTTCTGGGCGTTTCTCTGGCTGCGGGGGTGGTTTTCCTTACTGTTATTTACCTGACTTACACAGGTGAGTGCAAAAAGACAACGATTAAACAAATACATTTAATTGAATAAAACTTGGTTTGCTTGACCAGACTTTCAACTGAACTTCGACCACAAATGTGAAATGTTTTTTTTTTTTGCCAATAAAATCCGACTTGGTTTAAATAAGCCTTTGATTGAACCTCAGTTAGTCAGAGTGTGATAAACTTTTCCACTTTTTATTAAAGTTGTCTTCTAGACAAGGACAAGTGAGAAAATGAATATTTATTTATTATATCTCATGTTTGCTATTGTCTGAAATTACAAGAAGGCATCTATAGCATGCAAACATTACATTTTGAATTAAAAAAAAAAAAATAAAGACAGCTTGCCCCACATATGCTGGATCATAATTACAGTTTAAATTAAGAGTTTTCTATTTTACCACATGCTTAATGTAATTTATTCCTGCAATGACAGAGCAAAATTTTTAGCAGCCTTTACTCTAGTCTTCAGTGTCAGTCATTCTAATATGTTGATGTGGTGCTCAAGAAACGGTTCTTATCAATCTTAAAAACGGTTGTTTTTTTGTCAACCATAATTTTTGTAAGGATTTATTGATGAATGCAACATTAAAAAAAAAAGAACATTTATTTGAAATGGAATATTTTTGTAACGTTATAAATGTCTTTAGTCACTTTTGATAAATTAATGCATCCTTGTTGAATAAAAGTAACTTTTTTAAAAACTAACAAAATATGACTCACCACAAACGTTTTGAGTTTTCATTTACCTGCCATGTAGAAATCTTACTTTAACATGCATAAACGTTTTTAGCATAACAAAATCACTTGTCTCATGTCCATCATATATATCAAATATATGGTTACATGCTAAAAATGATGCCGTTTGTTAGTTTAAGGGTGTGTCACAACTTTAGCCACTGACATTTCTTACCCCACTCTGTATTGAAAGGTCGCAAATGTCACTGGAAGATTTTTTTTTTTTAATGCTGCACTGTTTTACAAGATTGTCAGTAAATAGATTGCACCATAATAAATTGTTACCCTGCGTGACTGATTTGCAGAATAAAAAGCTGTTTTTTTTTCTCAGCGTAATATTAAAAAGCTTCATTGCTGTTTACTTGTCACGTAGAGGACACAATGCTGATGAAATATGAAACACTTTTTTTTTTTTTATATATATATATACGTTTTGACATTCGAAGAGCACATTCTTAAATTATATTTTGCCCTCGACTAAATCATCCAAACCAAACATCTTTCAGTAAGAAAGGAAAAACACATCCACACCATCACATCCAATTCTCTGCCTTCTCACCTGAATACAGCGTGACTCTATGACCTCAGCCTCTTAACACTGCACCTCTGCCAGTATATATGGAGTCAGGGTGATTTGCTTGTATTCCCGACGCACCCGGGGCTTTCATTAATCTTACTGCTGCAGGTCCACGTCTGCAGCAGGCCTCTGAGATCTCATTAAGAACTCCCCTCTGCTCGCCACACTGCTTTTCAAACCGAGCACAGTCTTGTAGTGTAGATTAATTGAAAACATTGCCGGCTATATGTGTGGTATTAAGGTTCACTGGACATAGTCCAAGCTCGTCAGTGTCTCAGAAGCTGCTTGAAAGTGCTCTTGAGTCAGTAATGGTCAGGTGGTGCCCATTTGCGTTTAATCACTCTGTTGTGTTAATGTGCTTTCAGGGTACATTGCTCCTTGGAGTGGGCGTTTTTACTCTCTCTGGGACACAGGGTAAGTATGCCGTACAGTTTACATTGCATATAGTTTTTTTGTTGTTGTTGTTTGTTTGGTGTTCGGTCGTATGAGTAAGTCGCTAATAGCTCATTAGCACACCCCGTTAAATGGCTTAACAACAGACCTGATTTTGTCGCGGGCTCAAGCATGTAGCATGATTTATGTCTGTAAGCAGTCTTTTGGATTGGCTTGAATTATGTCTGAATAGCTGCCTTCAGTTGATATTCATTCACGCTGCCAATGAAACCCCACTTCTAGTGCACAAACAAGTAGTGCTGTGCTATTATGACAAGTTGTAATTGTTATTCTTTGATATTGTAATCACTCATTAATAGAATTGAAATCTCACAGAGCCAGTCAAGAAATGTCTCAGTCATATATAACTCCACAGTCATAAAATAAATACACCACACTTTTCTTAATTTTTTATTGAATTGACTTTAGTTGAATCTCACGATATTTATTTAGATTTTTTTTAAACTAATATTAACTATAATAATGTAATTTTTTGTCAGTGTCATTCATTTTATTCACTCTTACTTAGATAATATTATTTTACAAAAACAAAACGTTTTAGTTGACGGTCACATTGTAGCAAACTTTAACCAATGTAATTCTGTGAGAAAAATCTGTTGTTTAGTATTATATAATTTAAAATGTGAGTTAAACATCATACACAAATTTCATATAGAATGGATCATATTTCACCCCAAAATGGTAAAATAGATTTTCTTTTTTTTTTCACTGATGATTCTCATTATTGTAATAGTGTTTTATTATTATTAAATGGGAATGTAGTTTAGCATAAATAATTGCATAACAGCGCAACAGATACTACAAAGTGTGTAAATTGTATATAATTTAATGAATTAATAATTATTTTATTTTTTTATTTTGCATTTTTAATTTTGAAAATGAGATATTGGAGAAGAAATGTGCTTAGTTGTCTTAGTTGTCACAATGCAAAAAAACATTTAAAAAGGCTTAACGGTCCTAAAATAGTAATTAATTTAACTTTGAGCGACCAGCAACACATCACCTTAGTAACCCTGAAGCTGATATTTCACTTCATAGAGATCTATGGCACTGATTCAATGCACTGAACAGCACTGATGCAGGAAATCCCCTTAAACGTTGAAAGATACTACGACAAATATATCGCTTTCATCTTCTGACAACTGATATTTTTTTCACTAATATATGACTTGGTGAAGGAGAAGGACAGATGCAGGTAATCGCACACGCTCAGTTCTCCAACATGTGAATGCAAGGAAAAACATGCAAGTGAATCGCCATCATTTAGACATGATCACATTTATGTATGAATCGAGATTGTGATTTTTTTTTTTTTCCATTAATCGTGCAGCCCTAGAACCACCATGAACAGACGTGAAAGAAATCATGCAGCTGTGGATCAGACACACTCAACAGGACATGTTGTTGTTACTGATAGGCCTTGTATCGTAATTTCAATTAATAAAATTTTTGTGGCAGCCCTACAGGTAGAGCAGTGTTTGTACGTCTCTCAGCCATAAACCCTTGACTTTTTTGCCAGCTTCTTCATGTTCTTTGGACTCAGTGATACGTCGCCCATCATAAATTCATAAATGTGTAACTACCTCAATGCAGCAGCTCTGCTGGAAGACCCACAGTCCTGTCGAGCTCTCGCTGTGCACACTCCGCACAGATACAAGGTCAGGTCACCAGATAATGATCACAACACTGATAGTCACCAAAACTGAGCACAGAAATGCAGCAAAATTGAGAGGGCGAACAGCAGCACAACTCCTCAACAAACAACCCCCTGTTCAGCAACCGTGCAGTTTTCGCTTGTCCATGTTAAGTACTAGCCAAATAGCTATAGGCATTGTATTAGACTGTAGTTGTTAGTGTAGCTTGCCAGTAGTTAATGTGGTAATTTAATGCTAGTTAGTTTTATTTGCAACATTTTACACCGCAAGTCAACACAGCCCATTTGCCTATTATGCTCAGATATGCGAAGATCCACATCCCTATCATCGCCTCTGTGTCAGAGCACCAGCCCACCACCTGGGTCTCCTTCTTCTTTGACCTGCACATCCTGGTCTGCACCTTCCCAGCAGGCCTCTGGTTCTGCATCAAGAACATCAACGATGAGCGAGTCTTTGGTGAGCATGTCTAACATCCTTGAAATTACCAGACAATGTGTCTGCATTCAGTTCAATTCATTATTTAAAGTCATTACAAAAATGGCTTAGAAATGTGAAGTCCTGATAAAAAATTTAGAATTATTTGTTTGCAGATGATGTTTGATTTTATGTTTCCATCTCTAATGTAATGGCATTTATACATTGGTGTGGCTTGAATGCCCAAAAACTTTTAAGTAAATAAAATTAGTTAGTTAAGCTGGTGTCTTTCTTACATGTTACATTGGAATCATTTTAAGCCTTAGTTTATGAAAAATATTCATCCAAAATATTCATCCATTGAATTCAAAATGTATGAAATGTTGTCAGGGTATATTGTTGAAATGTCCCTTGCTTTTCTTTAAAATCTTAATTTTGATCCTCTAGAAGTGGCACTAAACATCTTTGAGCTTATTTCTGCCAGCAGGCTGTTTATTCTGAACAATTTTAAGCTGTAGTGAATATGTCCTGTTTATGCCTGAGAACACTCACTGCTGTTTTGATGTCTGCTATGAGTATTTCCACTTGTTGAGAACAGAATGCATTGATTTAGTCCCAGTCCCCAGAAGAGTTTTTTTTTTTATGGCTATCATGGAGTTTCTGGAGTCTTTCAGCGGAACAAACAAGGGAACGTGAACAGGCAACATGTTGCTACATGTTTAAAGGCCCACCTCTGTGTTTTTTTTTTTTTTTTTTTTTCTCTCTGGAGTCATTATCCAGTACAGAACTATAAACACTACACTGCAGTTCATTACCGTTCATTCTGTACTGCAGTGCCACATTGTGTCTGCTGGAATCATAAGTGATGTTTTCCCTGTTGCCCTCTAGTGGCTCTGTACGCCATCAGCGCGGTGTACTTTGCTGGTGTGATGGTGCGTCTGATGCTGACGCTCACCCCAGTGGTGTGCATGCTCTCAGCTATCGCCTTCTCCAGTGTGTTTGAGCACTACCTGGGTGATGACATGAAGCGTGAGAACCCGCCGGCTGAGGACAGCAGTGATGAGGACGACAAGAGGAATCAGGGGAATCTCTATGATAAGGTCAGCGAAAGGACAAAGGTCAGGCTAAGGACCCTTTGGTGGATAAAACGTTGCATTTTAAGCCTGCCGTACAGTAACACATGCATGGTATCAGAATTGTGATTTGGGGGATGGCTTGTTTGTATCTCATCTGTATTCAGTCTGATCTAATCGGTTGGTCCTTGTGCATTTGCAGGCCGGCAAAGTCCGAAAGCATGTGTCGGAACAGGACCGCCCAGAGGAGGGTTTGGGCCCCAACATTAAAAGCATCGTTACCATGTTAATGCTGATGCTCTTGATGATGTTTGCGGTGCACTGCACGTGGGTCACCAGCAACGCCTACTCCAGTCCCAGCGTAGTGCTGGCGTCATACAACCATGATGGGTAAGAGCACTTTCACGTGACCTATTTCTTGTTTAAAAGAAGGAATATCTGAGTTACTGATTTTTCTTCATTTATTTATAATTACCTCCAGATCACGCAACATTCTGGATGATTTCCGTGAAGCGTATTACTGGCTCAGGCAGAATACAGATGAACATGCTCGAGTCATGTCCTGGTGGGACTACGGGTATCAGATCGCAGGAATGGCCAACCGCACCACGCTGGTGGACAACAACACGTGGAATAACAGCCACATAGCACTGGTGAGGACAGCAAACTTTGCTTCAGACACTACCATGAGGTCTGATTTGCTGTTGTTTAGGAATAAACGGTGACTCTTTCTAAAACAGCATTAAGCTTTGGCTCAGTAGTGCCATCTTGTGGACAATGAAAGATCATGATCAATATTCTGTTTCCTTTGTAGGTCGGTAAAGCCATGTCCTCCAATGAGAGTGCAGCCTATGAGATTATGAAGTCCTTGGATGTGGATTACGTCCTGATCATTTTTGGGGGAGTGATTGGATATTCAGGCGACGACATAAACAAATTCCTGTGGATGGTGCGCATTGCTGAGGGGGAGCACCCTAAAGATATCCGGGTCAGTGTCAATCCTGAAATATCTGTAAAGGAATTCGTTATTTTATCGTGTTATTGAATTTGTATAATAAAGGAAAGTTTAGGCTTGGGCAGGTTTTTAGGGTATGCTTTTGTTTTGGTGATTCCCCACCCTCCCCAAACTTTGCTTTTAATTAACAGGGATCATTTCATAGCAGTGATGATGTGTTCTATTATTCCATATGTCAGAAACGAGTCCTCAAACTGCCATCTTTTTGTTCTTTCGTAGGAAAGCGATTACTTCACACCGCAGGGGGAGTTTCGAGTGGATAAGGCCGGCTCTCCAACCCTGCTCAACTGCCTGATGTACAAGATGTCTTACTACCGCTTTGGCGAAATGCAAGTGAGTGTTTCTTCGCTTAATTCATTAGGTCCATATACAAGAGTCGCATAATTGTGTTGTGACACTGTTTGAAAACAAGAGCTGATCCTTGAGCTGTCACCATTTTACAACTCTGATATTGTATTAATGCACATATAGATAAAGCCTTGCTGCTTGCTTAATGCCAAACACCTCCTCCACAGCTGGACTTCCGCACACCACCTGGATTTGACCGGACACGAAATGCAGAGATTGGCAACAAGGACATCCGTCTGAAGCACCTGGAGGAGGCGTTCACCTCCGAGCACTGGCTGGTGCGCATCTACAGGGTGAAGAAGCAGGGGAACCGACAGGCTCTGGACCACAAGCTCCGCAACATCGCAGCCAAGCAGAAGTACACCTCAAAAAAGGTTCTTCCCTCTCTATTCCATTAGAACAGCATTGTTATTGTTCTTGTAAAAAGTTGTAGCTTAATAGCGGGGTTTGTATTAAGACCATAGTAACCACCATAGCAAGTTAAAATGTCAATTTTCAGGAATGTTCATTTATTTATATAACTACGTTATTTTATAACTTTATTGAACTTTGATATTTTTACAGGGTTTTTCCATTGTTTTAATTTATATAATACCATGCATGTATAGTTGACATTTGAGGCTTAATACTATAGTAAAGCAATAAAAGTATTTCAATTTGAGTGTTTTCAGCTTGTTTATTTTCATATAAAAATATGGCTTGCAGTTGCTTCAAACAATGGTATAAACATCATTCAATGTAAATTGTGATAATCGACTATTTTGATTTTTGTCACAATTGTGCAGGCCCATCTACAGGGTGAAGAAGCAGGAGAACCGACAGGCTCTGGACCACAAGCTCCGCAACATCGCAGCCAAGCAGAAGTACACCTCAAAAAAGGTTCTTCCCTCTCTATTCCATTAGAACAGCATTGTTATTGTTCTTGTAAAAAGTTGTAGCTTAATAGCGGGGTTTGTATTAAGACCATAGTAACCACCATAGCAAGTTAAAATGTCAATTTTCAGGAATGTTCTTAATTGATTGTCATGAATGATTAATTGATCATTCATTTTAACATTAAAAGAACAAAATTCATGTTGGAGGGCTACCATGTCCATGTGGCCTTTTTAATAATACCGTGTTTATAATAATAATAAATATTCATATGATAATAAATATGGTTTGAAAAGTGTTTATTTATATAATTGTAAATATTTTTTATCATATGAATCTTTATTATTACAGTGTTATTAAAAATATTACTTTGTATAGTGTAAGGCATTTTACACAAAATGAGATTTAAGACAAGTTAATGAAAATGTGTCCTTTTATTATTTCTCAGACAAAATGCTGCACATTTCTTTGTGAAATTGAAAAATGCCAAATAATAAAACTAGCTTGAAATTTGAAGGCAAATCCCAAATCTAATAAATACAAATAAAAGAAATCTCTTTGCCTGTGCTCTTTCCATTAAAAATCAGAGGCAACCACTGCATTTTAATCACGACCCAAACAAAGGTGAAATTTGAACGGAATGGTCTGACTTTGTGAAACTATACTACGTAAAAAAATCTGAATGAAACAAAAGCATAAGACGGGCTGAATGAGATGCAAATGTCACTCTCTGACAGCAGGTGGCGCTTATGGAACAGCAGGTATTTATAAGCTGCTGGCCCTTTAAGACCAAATGCAAGGATCCAATATAATGATGCACATGCGATTTCTTTTTCCACTGTTTACGTTTGCTTTAGACACGAGAATACTTGCCGAGATGGTTATTTTGAGAGAATTTTGTGTGCATGTGTCCATTCGAGCACAAGGATATGTGTAAGAGGAATCAATTCTGTGTTTGTGCGCTGTCTGAAACGTGTGCCGAATTGAATTGTCTTTAGCCTCTTCATGGCACTTGAATGTTTAAATCGGCATGACTTAGAAACACATGCAAGTGATCAACTTACGTTCCGGTTCACGGTTTAAATCAAGGCAAATCAAGGAAGGAATTTTATATTACTATGACACAGCCCATCGGGCAGGGCAGTGATACATTTGGGTAAACCGACTGGAGAAAACAAAAGCCCTGGAACGTTGGGCTAGCGATTTTTTCGAGCCCCGTTTATGAATGATAGTAGCAGCCAAATGACAACTAAAACCTGTAAATACTACATAGTCTCGTTGTACTATCGTATCCAATGGTAAATTTTCATTATGAATGTTGACTATTCTGATGTGTTATTTCCTTTGGTTCACAGACAGCCAAGAGGAAGAGGGGATACATCAAAAACAAATTGGTTCTGAAGAAAGGCAAGAAACTGAACAAGAAGTCTGTTTAGCTATTGAATGAAAACGTTGAGAACGGAAAAAGAGGAAAACAAAAGACAAGGACAAATGCAACTAGTAAGTAATCCACCAATCAAAAAGAACAAACATGTTGTCTGGCGCCGCCCACCTGAGAACATTTGATTGGAGGCTTTTGGTCCCATGATTGCCATGACGACACGGAGGTTCCATGATGGGTTCGAGGATGGGGATCTGCACCGCGGTTTTAATCGGACATCTCTGGACTTAGTTTTGTTCTTGTGTTCTCTCTTTTTTTTTTTCTTTTTTCTATTGTACTTGAATGTGCTGGTGAAGCGAGCGCTGCCGGTGTCTCAAACGGCACGCACTGTTTGTGGTAAGTTTAATATAATCCAACCGAATGCTAAAACAACCAACAAATATGAATTTCATGAAGCTCAGTGAACCTTGGAGCACCAAAGAGATTTTTCATTTTGTCAGAGCCTGTAATAAATTAACTTTTGATTAAAAAATAAAAGATATGGGAAAATCTGAGGAATGTGGAGCCATCTACAGTGCGACAGCCCCAAAAATGCTCTCTTGGTTTTAACTGTTATCTGACGAACCCGGTTTTCTATGTGACAGAATGCAGTGGGCTCTTTGTGGCTCGGAGTTTTTTCTAAGGCAGACATTGCAAAGGACTCGATTATTAGTAATGTTTAATTCTTGTGGTGATTTTGAATATAAATAATTTTGTTTGTTACATCATTTTGAATGTTTTTTGTTTTTTTTCTATTGGTTGTAAGATTTTATGCAATAATTCTAAATTCAAATGAAGAAAAATCCGCTTTTATTTCTTATGTTGCGCATGTGTTTTGTCCAGAGGGGGCGCTGTTGTTTGGCATCTGCGCATAAGTTTGCGGAAAAACATGCTTATGGATGTTTTTCTTGGGCCAATTAGAAATAATTTTTTTCCCCCCCTTCCTAAACAACCGTCTGCCAGGACAAAGCGTGAATTTAATTAGTTGTAGGTTTATAAAATGCTGCATTACTAGCCTTAATGCACTTTGTCTTAGTTCACCTTAATGTGGATCCACTACTGAGTAGCATGCAGGTGGAGAGTGCGTATTTTTAGTGTGAATATTCAGACTTTTTTTTTTTTTTACGTTGAAAAGGGCGCTTCCTGCAACATCCAGTAGGTTTTCTTTTCCTCAGTTCGTCTGGGCTGCCATTTAAACTTTCCCCGCTTTGTTTGTTTTCTGCCTTTCTGCCTTTTTCAAACCTTACATATTGCTTTTGCTTCATCTGTTTTTGTAAGATAATTAGAAGGAAAATTTGATCGTTTTTTTCCCCTCTTCTCCATAACCTATCCATATTATTCTGCTCTGAGGGCTCTGAAGCTTAGGGGGAAGGTATTTATTAACAAGAATGCATTTGAAGTTGAGAAGAGGAAGCCTTTCATCCTGAAATGCAAAAACTATATTTTCCGTTTCATTTTCAAGTTAAAATTTATTCCATAAATTGTAAAATAAAAAATATTAAAAAAAAAGAGGTAGAGAAAGGCAAAGATGCTGTTTGTGAGAATGAGTTGATGCCATTTGTGAATAAAAGACTCAATGAAAGAATCGGCCTTATCCATGTTTGCAATCTCACATCCTTTTTCATTTTGTCTAGGATCATCTTGCTAGTTTTAATAGAAATGTAATTCAAAACATCTGCTCCAGCTGCTCGTCATTGGTGTTATTCTACAGGTGTCCTCCAGGGGGCAGCTGCTGCACATTACATCGAGGAGGCGCAGTTTTTTTTAAGCGAATCAGATGAGCTGTACTTGTCATGTGACTAATCACTGGAAAAGTACGTCATGACAGCGCTGATGGAACGCATCTGAAAAATGTAGTCTCCTCGCTCCTCTGTCCTCCATCCTATGACCCGGAAAGCGATCGAGCTCAGCCATCTTGTAGGACATCTCAATGCTCTAATTGCACCGCGAGGATGAGGAGGCTTCCTGAGGAGCTATGAGCGAAGATACACAGGTGTATCCTTTGCGGAAGTGTTTTTCATCGTAAAACCTGACGCACGTATACATTCTCCTCCCCCTTCACATCTGTTGTAATAATTTTAATTTATATTTGACCTTTGCCGTTTAGATAAACCATACATGTCATATATTTCAAACAGGGCATCTTGCTTTATTGATATTTATTATGAATGTCTTAACAAACTTGAACAACATAAGGGCAGATCCCTTTAGCGCAGCTGATGATGCTTTGAAGTGACGCTAAAGGGAGCGAGGCTATATCATTTCACTTGGTGCCGCGATGCTGTTGTGGTCTGCAAACACTGCTCACCCCTGGTGGAGTTTATTATTATTAAGTGCCGGCCGTTCTATCTACCGAGGGAATATACAGCCATACTGCTCGTTGCTGTATACATCCCTCCCAGCTCCAACAACAGCAACAGGAGCAAGGCACTAAATGAACTGTACCAGCACATCAGTGAGCAGCAGACAGCCCACCCCGATGCTTTTCTCATCTTGGCTGGGGATTTCAAACACGCAGACTTAAAGAGTGTGTTCCCAAAAATACACCAACACATAGACTTTCCAACTCGGGGAAACAACATTCTAG